TAAGTGCATGAAATAAAAGTCATTTGTTTATTTGCTATACAATTTATCAAAGAAATGAGATGCTATTTTTTGACCTTAAAAAAATGAAATGTTATGAAATTAATGAAACAATATCTTCTCGTACCTCACTAATTTGTGGAACAACTCAATTCATATATTTGTATTAATGTTGGTATATATATATATATATATATATATCTTTGATATTGTATCACCTATAAGTAGAGGGATTGTAGGTCTCATTTAGAACCTTTGATAATAGAAGTGAATGATAGAAATAACTCTTACTATTTCTCGGTCTCTACTCTACTTTCTTTGTTCTCTACTTTTAATAGTTTATATAATTAGTTTTGCAACATTATCAACACGAGTATCTACTTTTGAGCAATCAAGTACCTTTTTCAACAATCTAATGGAGAGAAACTTATTTTGCTAGTGTCAACTTGTTTATTTAGTATGGTTGGATTGGAAATTATTTGGGATAGTTTTTTTAAAAAATATTGTATTACCTTTTGGTAATATAATGTATGTGAGATTTAAAAGGTAATTAAAAGTAAAAAAAATAATCAAAAAATATTTTTATGATGCAATCAATAATTTTTTTTGTAAATAATAAGCTATCCAAACGACTCTTTAAGTCACAAAAGTCAACCTATTCAGTCACACTTTAATATTACTGTAATCGTGACGTGCTATCCTCAGGAGCTTACTCTTTTTTTTTAAATTTTTTTTTTTGTGGGGCGCATTAGATGTACTCGACTAAAAATTGCAAACAACTTGATCATTTGATGATAATTGTATATTTTGTGCACATTCAACGAATCTGTGATAAGGATAGGGAAATGGATTTACATAAAGTACCCCAATGTTTTCTACACTTCATATGATCCTTTCTTCCTTATTCTTTTTTGTAAATTGTTGCACTTCATTTTGTCAGCATTAACTAAGGTTATTTTTTCATAATGAAATTAAGGATGCTTTCGGTTTCAGAGGTCACATCTTACTTGCTTTCCTCCACCAATCCGGCTGTGCAATTAGGAATTCAAACAAGTTTTGGGTAATTGTCTTGACTAGGAATGGCAATTAGGCAGGGTGAGGGCGTGAGCCGCCCGTTGCCCAAACATTCCCTCACCCCCCACCCTTGCTCCTCCTACCCCACCTCATACTCACAAGAAAAATGTGTATAATTAGTAAAAAGTGTAATTAGTAATTTAATATAAATATATTGGTATAACTAATCAATAATTTGTATTAGTATAAATATATAATTATTAGCATAACTAAAAATATTAATTATATTTCATAAACATAATATGATATTTATAACAAATAATATTAAATATGATATATATATATGTATGTATATATTAAACGGGTGACGGAACGGGGGTATACTCCCCCATCCCTCATCCCATTTTTTAATGGGGGAAGAAAATGACCCTATGCCCTACCCTACCCCGCCTTCCATCCTCCACCCCATCAATTCCCTGTAGGCACTCATCCCAATTGGCATCCATAGTCTCAGTTAGAATATATGGAATAGTACGCAGTATAGCACCAAGAATAATAAGATTAAAAAATGCATTGGAATAGTGCCTCGAATGTGGAGCCAAAATGTAAATTTAAAGAATTGTAAGTTTTAAGGATCTAACAATTTCATCGACCAATTAACAAGAAAAATCATATACAGGGGAAATGAGGTAAAAAAAAGTAGTATAATCGAGGAAATATGTAAGATAAAATGATTGAGATTGGAAAATTTTTGTGAAGAAAGAAAAGCAAGGAACAAAAGAATAAGAATAGGCAAGCAAAATGAACAAAGAATATTAGATGGAAAAATGATAGGGGGAGGGAAAATGTAATGAATCTTCTGTCTCACTCTATTTGTCATTTTCTATCCCACTTTTTATTATTTGCTATTTTTCCTTCATAAATATCATATTTGAGTTTTTTTGTTTCATTAATATCCAATAACTATTAATTGAATAATATGCAAAATTTAACAGACTCAAAAAATCAAAATACACAAAAATGAGATTTTTTAATGAATTTTTTGGTCAATTTTTAAAATTTTCTATTATATATTATTTTTTGTGGCTGTTGTATTTAGTTTTTACTTAACTAATAGTTATTGAATTTTAAGAAAATAAAAAAAACTAAAATATGATATTTATGAAAAATAAATGATAATATAATAAAAACTGGGATAGAAAAATGACACTCGGAATGGGAATGAGATAGAGGACTCATTGCAGAAAAAGACCACATCTTGATGGCATTTTTATCCAAAATAATTAATATGCGACAAAGTACCTATTTTATAATTTGGAGGGGACAAAATGCAACCTCCCCGAAAATCCTCATGAGTGTCAGTATTCTGTCTTGGTAGGAATCGTCAGTGAAAAAAATATCTCAACTGTGGCGTACCAGTTGATTTAGCTGATATCAGTCCACTTCCCCCAAATAAAACCTTCCCTAAAACCTTCTTGAATCGTGTCATCAACTGATGTTCATGGAATTTATATTGTCATTGCTTGTACTATTTAAAATCGTCGGCACTGTTCATGGAATTTATATTCTCATTAATTTGATGAATAAAATCGTTATCGTTTCTGGAAAAAAAAAAAGTGAAAGGATAGGCCGAATTTACACCCTTCATCCACAATTCATAGAAACAATCTATGGTTCCTATTGGATATCATTTTTTTAACTTATATCTCTCATTAAAGATAAATAGTTTAAATTTTAAATATTTAATTTAAAAATTAATAATATTTTTTTTCACTATTTAACGGTGAATTTCATTTGTAAGTATAATATCCAAAAGAAACGTAGAAAATTCAACTACTCTCCGATAAAGGCGCGGGAATAAATGAATAGAAAATAGCTAGGCCCCCAACCCTCTTACATTTTGTTTATGGGTAAATTATTCCACTTGAATTTCTTAGCATCGACTTAAGGGTCTTTCTCCACAAAATGATGGAACTTTACAGGTCAAGTCAATATGTTACCCTTTTTTTTTTTCTCAAGTGAGAAGATTCCTCTCAAGTACTTTACTGGTCTTTCTCTGCCTGGTTCCGGACTTGAACAAGACCCATTTCCGATTGGGTTGATCTCTTGGTTAAACAGATATGACTGAAACATGGCTCTCATTTATGAAAAAATGATTTCGAACTTCTACCAGTCTACAACTCGGAGGACTTGAAAAAGTGTGGATACAAGGTTTGTTTTTTACTGCAATTAAGTCAAGGACTAGAAAAAGGTGTTTTCTCATCCGAAGCTGCTACTGCAAATTCCCTGGAGGTCACATCTTAGTCTGACTCCCATCCTTCGGATCCAGCGGCCTGGTTCTGGACTTGAACAATTCGCATTTCCAATTGGATCCTTTTATTCCCGCCCACCCTCCCTCCGTCCGTCGTTGTAAGAACTACTTCCGGACTTACTAGTCTTTCCCTGCCTAGTTCCGGACTTGAACATATAATTTTCACGTTCAAGTCTAATATCTGTATCTTTGTCCTGTGTTTTCCTGTCAGAAGTTCCACTAAAACTATATATTGAAAAAAGCATATCCATTTGATCCAAATCTTGCAACGGATAGACCCAATAAAAAAAAAAAAAAAAGAAGAGAGAGAGATAATAATATTGGAGATGCTGGAAAATAATAATATTGTGACTCTGACATTTGAAAATAATAAAATATGAAAAATAAAAATAACCACACCGGCCACTATACTTTTATTGAGACTAATAATGTGAACATTTTACAAAAGAAAAACAAATTGTAAGAGATATCAATATTGAAGTTAAATAAGGGGGGAGGGAGAGAGAGAGAGAGAACGAGATGAATGTTGGAGCAGCAAATAATTGTTTTTCTCTTTGAAAATTCCAATGGTTGAAAACAAGGAAAATTTTTGAATTATTTAGCAACAACTAAAATGGACTAAGGGAAGAACTTAAATGGCACAAAAATAATGCTAAGAACGATACTACAAAAAGCCCTAAATCATTAACCAACGAAAACAGCCAAAACGCCTATCCTTACTGATTACAAAGAAATTATTTTGCGGGTGACATCTAATACTAATATTTTGTCATGCCCCAAACAAACGAACATCTGAACTCTTGAGTTAGCATGTAAAACATTCAAATAAAGAAATTTAAATATTCAAGTTTTGTAGAACATGTAAAATAATTAAAAATATGCATTAATCGATTCCAAACAACCTCTACTACCCTCTTTTGTTAGCAAACGAAGCATGACAAGTAAATGTACGTTAAACATTTTGTGTGCACATATATGATTTATAAATTACTGATAATACAACTACTGCAAAGATCTCTATACAACAAAATTGACTCCAAAACTCGAATTTGCACCTGGATTCAACAAGATCCGAGGGATTCTGACATAAATCTTCTCGTACATGCCTATGCCTATTATCCAGATCCAAATCTGGATCACCTTGTTTCAGCTAAAATCGACCCACTTAGGCCAGACATGTAAAGGTCAATAATGTCGGCATAATTTTTGTCCCTTGTCCAAAATATTAGCAACGAAATCTTGAAATACAAAAGACGGGCGCCAATGCGCAATGGTTCTTAGAATTTTAAACGGTGGACGCTCAGCTTGGCCTCATTTTTGCATTCGAATTATTTAAGGTTTGATAACAGTTTGTACGTTATTTATAATACCGATATTTCCATGACCTTTTTCTACTCTTATTCGTTCTTGTCAACTGCTGGATACTTCCTCTCCTTCCTCTCCTATCTCCTTTCGTCCGTCAAAACAGCCCTCAAACCCGCTTCTTCTGGTTATCATTTCGAAGCACATAACAAATCAATGGCTTCCGTATTTGAGCTGTCTCAACTGTTGTAGCTCAACAAATTACATAAACCCCACAATCTATAACTGCTATGGTTCTCATGCATATTTGAGCTCCAAAACAGACAGTAGGTTCAACCAGTTCTGATACTGACTAGATAATCAGTTGCAGAAAGCAATGGATCCTGAATTGCGTAAACTTGCACAAAAAGGAATGAATCCTGAATTGTACGCAGCTGCACAGTTAGGTGATTGGGCTGTAATTAGAAGATTCTCAGGCAAGTTCCTGGCTCTGAAGACTCCAAAAGGAAACACTGTCCTTCACGTATTAGCCCAGTCCTGTGATTCTGCAGATGCTGTCCGACATATCCTTGCACGAAATTGCTGTTTGCTAATGGCAAAGAGTGCTTGTGGTGAGACTGCACTTCATTTGGCCGCAAGAAAAGGGCATTCTGGCATTGTTCGAGCACTTATTGATTACAGTAAACAGAACAAAGGATGTTGGTTTTGCGCCTGTTTTGTCGACAGATGCAAGAGGATGCTGAGGATGGCTAATGTGGAAGGAAACACAGCTTTACACGAGGCAGTTAAGAACAACTTCTATGAGGTTGCTAAGTTTTTGGTTCAAGAAGATCCTGAGTTCCGATATCGCCCGAATCATGCTGTGGAGACTCCTCTATATCTCGCTGTTGAGAAGGGATATCGGGATATTGCGGATCTGATTTTGACGACTTGCAAGTCACCAGCTTATCTTGGCCCCGGTCACAAAACCGCCCTTCACGCTGCAGCAATATGGAATTTACCAGGTACATTACATTACTAATTTGCATCAAGCAATGAATTTAATCACCAAAAGAAAGGAAATCTTTTGAGCCTTTTTTTTTTATTTGATGTTTTTCTTTCTTCACACGTTGGAGAGTGTATTATCAGGGTTCTTCAATAATTTTCAAGGACAACAATCGACCAACCAATGACTAGAGGAAATCCAAAATAGGAAAAAAAGGGTGGCTCAAGACTAGGGATGGCAATGGGGGCGGGTGCCCGCGGAGGGCTAATGGGAAGGGGGTTGGGGCGGAAGCGGGGGGAATTTTTTTCCTCCCGCTTAGAAACGGGGCGGGGGGCGGGGGAGTGTACCCCCGCCCCATCCCTCCCTGCCACCCACTTTAAAAAAATAAATATATAAAATATATATGTATATAATTATATATATAATATATAATTTAATTAGTTACAAATTTATGATAATGATATTATTAGTTATATGTATTATATAATGTCTATTAGTATATATAATATAATTGATATTATTAATTATCCTAATAATTACATATGTGTACTAACACAAATTATTAATTGATTATACTAAATTTACTAATACATTTATACTAAATTCCTAATTACACTTAATACAATAACATTTTTTTCTTAAAAAAAGCACAAGCACAATAATGAATTAGTGATTGTATTTGTGCCAAAAGTGAAAACTTGACTACTTTAGTTATATTTATTTCATCATGTTGGATTGTATTTAAATAATTTTTATTTGATTGTTTTTATAAGTTTCAATTGTAAAATTATAATGAATAATAATTTGATGATGTGTTGATATTTTAGTACTTGATTATTTGTTAAAATTTAATCATAATAAAATTATATAACAAATTTTTATTAGTCCCGCGGGGAAATAAAAAATTGACAGGTGCCGAACCTGTGCAATAATAATTACCTACTCAAGAAAAATACAGATTTTGTATATAGCGGTGAGTAGGGTCGAATCCACAGGGACTGGGGATAATTCGTTTCTTTTAGAATCCAAAGTATGGGGGGTTTTGGATTGAATGCTAACTAAATAAATTAACTGCAGAAAATAATTAATTAAAAGAAATAATTGGAGAAACTCTAGCCAAGGGTACACTTCAAAAATGGTTCAGGCACTGATCATTGATTCACAGATAATTTCACATTTATTAATAGATTAGTTATAGTTGCCATGCACGCGATAAACAACCAACCTTTTCTTACTTTCTCGATAGTTAAGGTACGACCGTTAACTATTTCTCTAACACAAAAACAACCCTAGGTACGACCGTAGGATTTAATTTCTAGATTGCATTAAGAATTAGAAAGACCCAATCCTAACTAACAAACACGCTACGAGGGTTTGTTTAAGTTAGATCGTATGTTCCCCTGACATAAACCCAATTACGCCAGTTGCTACTGAGATAAAGATAACGAACAATTACGGATTCAATTATCCCTATTTAGCAAAATAGCCTATGTGAATAATTAAATATTGCGCATCTATTCAATCACTCACACGAGCTATAACAGTTAAAAGCAGGAAACATATGAATACCAATAAATGGAGGAAACAATTAAAATAAATTCGATCTCACAGTAATTGTTGAACCAAGTCTTCAGTTGTTCCCTTGACTAGAATTAAGAGGTTAGTCCTCCATTAATGGAGAACAACCATGCGAAAGAGCTAAAAAAAGAAAACTAAAACTATGCTAAAATCCTAAACTAAAACTATTGATTCATAAACCTCGTACGTTTCTCCCTTTTTAAAGCCAAAAGGAAGTCTAATGCTATCTCTAGTGGTCCCCACACCAAATTCAAAGTGTTGTACGTTTCTTTTCCTAGAGTCCAAATGACTCATGCTTCTTATCCGTGGTCCCCGCACATGTGGACAAAGCCTCCAAAGTACTTGTTGTTCCAAGTCTCTCTACGTTGCTTTCTTTGAAAAGCCCAAATGACTAAATGCCTTGCACTAGCTTGTGGTCCCCACCAATTCAAGGACCCAAAGGTTGAAGCCCTTAGAAGTCTGCATTTTTCCATACAAGTCCCTCCTTTTTGGTAATTTTCTGCTTCACTCCTGAAATTGATTCCAAATACCAAATATGAGTAAATATCAGCAATTAACACAATATTTGTCAGGGATAGAAGGGGAAATCAATAATAAATTTACTAACAAATTATACCCTATGAATTCCCCCCACACCTGAATCATGCTTGCCCTCAAGCATGGGGAAAGTATACAGACATCAAAATTTGATAATGGTCATTGCTCTATCTACCAAATTGCCAAGATATTCAAGAGAGAACCATATATCGGGCATTAGTAATTAAAATCCAAGAAGCATCCCCCCAGTTAGCTTCCCAACCACCAACTTTCCAATTTAAAGCAAACTAATCTAAGAAAAAGGAATGGTTGCTCACATTTATCAGTAAATGGTCCAACTATTAACCAAAATCTCAACACTAAGATCACAAACCGGCAAGCTGACTTATTCACATACTAACACAATCTTTAATTCACTTTTTTTTTTATACCAATAACAAAAGACTTAGTCTATAACCCTTAGAGCCTTTTGACGCGAACTCCAACATTTGCCAGATGGAAGAGCCCGGTTACTCAGCTCCAATTGCTACGGGACCACGCACTCATAGCAACTACTACCTTTTGACGCGAAAATCAACACTTTAGGTGAAGATCCCCGGTTACTCAGTAGTAACCATTAGCGGAGTACAGTCAACTCTTATTTACAACCATATAGCACGATGCCTAAAAGCAACACAAGAATAACAGCAGCCAGCCTCAAATTTCCAGACATGGAGAACTAAAATTAATAACTGGACCAATTCACAAGAAAAATGCCAACAATCATTCCCTATGCCTAGAAAAGTTAACTAAAAATTAGAAAAGTCAAGCAATTATTGATATTCACCAAAGAGATGTTCCTGAACTCAACCGCATCAACTCGATACCTTTTTTTAGTAAACTTGGCAATAGCAGAATTAGAGACAACAATCCAGCATCAAACTTGGTATTCATATGAAGACTGACCACTAAAAAAAAAGAAAAGAAGATAAACGAAAAAGGAGATAAATATCAAACTAGAAATAAAGGAAAAACCTTTAGAAACTAAAAATAAAAATACTAGCAGCCAAAACTGACCCCCCCACACCTAAATCACACATTGCCCCCAATGTGATAAACTAACAGCAAAAGAAAGGAGAAGGGCAACGGTACTTCCCTGAAGTTGTCAAAACAGGGGTGGGTCGGGCGGGGTACTGCCAAATTCCGCACCATGTTATGCAAGTCGACGTCAATGTAGGTCACTCGAGTCTCCAGTCTCTCAACTTGCATTCGGAGTTGGACCTAGTCGTTAGCCCTGGGTGGTCCCCTGCTTAGCCAAATGCAATAACAATGCATCCCAAAACCGCAACAAGTGCTCCAATGAATTTAGTACTTGAAATCAATAGATAGAGTACTCCCAGCAAGTCAATTAGACGCCACCAACAGCAATAAGTAATGGACGTGGCACAGTAGCCCTCCAATTCAACAAACAAATGCAGAAAATACCCAACCAAAGGCACTTCAAAGGACGCAAGACAGAAACTAGCAAAATAGAACTCAAGTGATACCAACAGGGATACCAACAGAGCAAATGAATTCAATTGATTGAAGCGAGTGAAACGCAACAAATGTCACCAGTTGGACAGTCAAATACCCAAGTCAAACGCTCAAAATTAGCAATTTGGCCAAGAAACCAGCAATTCCAGCAACTAATGGTAAGAATCGAGAGACAGTTCAGGCACCAAAACTCAAGAATCGAATAGGCAGTCCAGCACAGAGGATTAAGAAATGGAAAGCAACACTGCAACCAGTACCACTGGTGCACACGGAAGGTCAGACGGCCAACAATTCAACAAATATCAGAAAATATCCCCACATATGGTAGCAATTAGACCCAAATCTGTCCAAAATGAACCCCAGAAATTGCCGAATCATCACATTCTTTACTCCATCAAGAAGCCCATACACAGAGTTCAGTGAGTTAAACTAACTGGGGGAGAAATGGCAATACCTCCACCTGTCAGAAATTGACAGGTGGTGACGGCGGGGCTGGACAATTGATGGTCGTAAAAAGGAGGAGGAGCTGCGGGTGAAGTGGGAGGTTGACCGCTGGTGGAGATGGCCGACAGCAGTGGCGGCGGAGGACAGCGGTGGTGCTGGGCGTGCGGCAATGGCGAAGCTGCGGCGCTCAGCTGTTGGAGGTGGAGGTCCATGAATTGGGTGGAATGGCCGGCGGCCGAAAGAAGAAAAGAAGGAAAAAGGAAATAGGGGCAGCGGGGAAGAAGGAGGAAAGAAAAGAAAGAAAGAAAATTTTTTTTTATTTTTATATTTTTTTTTTGGGAGGGACTCCTGTCTTAGGCGTGGGCACGCTCAACTGCTATAGAGTCCGCAGATCCTGAACGAGAATTTCTTTCCCTCAGGCGTGACCACCTGGCGTGGGCACGTCTAACTGCTATAGAGTCTGCAGATCCTGAACGAGAATTTCTTTCCCTCAGGCATGACCACCTGGCGTGGGCACGTCTAGCTGCCAATTTCCTGCCACAAAAGCAACAAATCACTAAATGCAACTAACACTTAACAAAAATTCCAAAAACATAAGAAAATTAAAACGAAAACCTTGGGTTGCCTCCCAAGCAGCGCCTTTTTTTAATGTCTTCGGCTAGACATTGTCCTGTTTATTCATGGAGGATAAAATCGCGTAGCTCGCTTCAGTGCTTCATCTTCTATGTAATCCTGATAGCCCTCGTAAATAGAGTAATTCTTGACCACACGAGCTACGGTCTTCCATGGACTAGTAAATGGCACCAAACAAACAAGTGATGATCTTAAATCTTCACTCACTCCTCCATCAAGAGCACTTATTAGTTCGAGATATTTTGCCATCATGACTCTTAATTTATTCCTGGCATGAAATTCAAAATCGTCTGGTATAATAAAATCAATCTC